CATGATACTACTAACTTGCAAACCCTGTTCTACAAGGGAAAGCCCCAACCGTGGTAAACACAACAGATTCAGACACACAGCTCATGTCCTGGAATAAACTGGTGAACTTTTTTCTGAACATTAAGTTTGGGGGCCAGTGATGTGCACAGTGGGTAAGGCCACCGCCTGCACTGCCAGCATCCCATACGGGCACGGGTTCGAGTCCCAGCTGCTCCATTTCTCATCCAGCTCTCTGCTGTGGCCTGGGAAAGTAGAAGATGGCCCAAGTCCTCGGGCCCCTGCACCCACGTGGGAGACCCGAAGAAGCTCCTGGCTTTGGATTGGCACAGCTCCAGCCATTGTGGCCAATTGGGAAGTGACCCCGCGGATGGAAGACCTCTCTCTCTGCCTCTCCTAATTCTTTCAAATAAATGGAGATAAATCTTTGAAAAAATTAAGTTGGTAATAGGCATCAAAACTTCAAACCTGCTGATCCAACAATTCTGCTTTTAGGAATTTATCTTAAAGGAAATGCATCAAAGGCATCCGTACAAGGTTGCTGTATGTCCTCTTAGATATCCTGAAGACACTGAACATCTAACTGGGCCCGAATAAACTAGTGAGGCATCCACAAGTGAAATAATGCCAGCACTGAATATGGAGCTGTAAAACTCGGCTACAGGGAAATGCGGCCATTCACGACAGCTTGTTACAAGGCAGTAAAACATGGGCGTGCGCACGCGCACACACACACACACACACACCTAGAAGGGTGTGCACTGATGCATTAAGCTGGATGGGGGGGATGATTTTGATTTTTACATGTTTTATCTTTCTACTTCCTCATTTTCTGTGTAACTTGTAGTTTTTAAAACCTTTAAGAAGATGAAATTGATGGGCCAATACACTTTACATGTTATGATGTTTCATAAAAAATATACAACTACATTAGAAACTATCTTAAAGAAAAGTCAATTTATTTTAATGCTTAACATCTAGAGGGTTAGACAGAACAAACACTGAAATTCTGAATGCGGCTCTGTCCAGTTTAGGAAGTCATTTCACCTTTATCTTAAGAGTTCTCATGCATTAAATGAGAATGATTCTGCAAATCAAATTAAAAATGACTGCACAGCCACTGAACACAGCCATCGGGGTGTGTGTTTATCACTGAGTAAGCCCCTCTTAGGGTGCTGGCGCTGCGGTGCCAGGGTTAAGCTACCGCCGGGACACCAGCATCTCACGAGCGGCGGCTTCCAGGCGCAGCGGCTCCACCCCTGCCCCAGCTCCCCGTTAAAGTGCCTGGGAGAGCAGCGGGAGAGCAGCGGGAGACAGATCTTTTTTAAAAAAGAAAAGAAAGAGACCAAGCCACCTCTTGGGACGTTCACAGTCCCCTGTCAGAAAGCCTGACTTCTTCCTGGTGATGAGCCCTGGAAGACGGAGGGTGATGGCTCAAGTACTTGGAGCCCTGCCACCCACTGGGAGACCCAGATGGAATTCTAGGCTCTGAGCTTCGGCCTGATCCAATCCTAGCTGTTGGAGGCGTTTGGAGAGTAAACCAGCATAAAGAAAGTGAGCTCTCTCTCAAATACAACTTTAAAAAGGAAAATCTTACCTAAATGAGACATAAAAGGGTACCTCTGGGTCCCTGGCACGATTCCACATGAAGGGAATCCCATGAAAGCATCTGCTACTAAAGTTTGAGAACACACAGCTCAGGAATTGTGGCTTCATTGTTGCACTTGTGAAACAAGCCAGCAAGACGGGAACTGCCAAGCACATTCACGGTCCCAGGAATGGTCCCAGCGGCCCCGTGGAACCGCCGCTCGGCCCTGGCTGCCGGGCCCAGCAGCTTCCCGGTGACGGCAGCACCTGCTCCGTGAGGACGCTCGCCCCCTGCCTGGTGGAGAAGCTGGCTCGGCCCAGTGCAGGCAAGCAAGGGAGCACCCGTCTTCCCACCCACAGCCTTCCCTCGCACCCTCTCCCTCTGTCCAACTTCACTCCAACTCACAAGGACACAGACGCCTGGGCCCGAGTCCCACTCTGCCTGCGCACAGTGACAGACGCAGGCTCGAGACGCCGCACTTCTGTGGCTGCTCTGTGCACCAGCGACACGGCACTGGGCACCAGCGGGCATGCTGGAGTGAGAGCAGTGCACCGCCGGGAGGATTCACAGCCCAACACGTCCCTCACAACGCTGCCACCACACCAGCTCCATGGCGCAGCGTGGCGGACGGCTTGCACTGGAAGCACTGAAAGCCACTTGTATGAAGTTCTCCCGGCCCTGGCGAGCACCAGCACTCTGCGGTGGCCCTGTCGGGCTGTCAGCACGAGAGGGGAGGAATCCACGCAGCACGCAAAGGCATCTGCCATGAGCCGTGAGCCGTGAGCGGGGCCGTCCTGGGTGCCTCAGAGCCCCGTCTGGGCACTCCAGCCTGGGACTCACACTTGCACTTCCGGAGTCGGGGTGTACCCCTCCAAGGGCATCCCCGGCCACCTCACTGGAAATGCCTGCCCCCAGGACTGACAAACCCCACGCCTGGCCACACCTGCACTGGCACACAGGGAAGGCAAAGAGCAGAGCGCAGAGTGGGGTCAGGAACCTTGGGGGGGCGTCTGGGCAGCAAAGCCCCTCGGTGTGGGGGGGGAGGGCGTCTGGGCAGCAAAGCCCCTCGGTGTGTGTGGGGGGGCGTCTGGGCAGCAGGACCCCTCGGTGGTGGTGGTGGGGGCGTGTCTGGGCAGCAGGGCCCCTCGGTGGGGGGGGGGGGGGGCCTCTGGGCAGCAGGGCCCCTGCCAGCCGGCCAGTCTTTGCAGACTTCACCCACCACCTGACCAGCGGTGCTTCCTCAACAAGACTGTCAGTATTTTTCCCTGAAGGGCGCCGCTACAGTCAGCAGTTGATAAAGCAAACTGGACTAGGAGTTTCCTGTGACGTCACTGACTCTGGTGGTGTTTCGGTTTGCCGTTTTCATCCCCTTACGAATCCGGCACAGAAATACTCGGAGAAAACTTCCCTAAACGCTCTAAGCCTTTTGCGTATCACATTCACCAAGTAAAGGCCATGAAGTAGGCTGGCGGCTGGCTCGGGGACACGCGGCGACCCTCCCCTGAGTAACTGAACTGGCCCTACGGCACAGTGCTCACTGCTGGAGACCAGCCCAGCAGCCAGGGCCGGAAGCGCCACCCCTGCTCAGACTTGGGGGCTCAGCGTGACGGCCTGGAGCGTGAGGCGGCTCCACCCCTGTGCTGCTGCCACGCGTGCTGGAGTCCGAGCCCCAGAGAGCAGCAAGGGCACCGCCCACCCCCGCCAGCTCCTGCCCGCAGACGTTCTGGGGCTGGGGAGGATCTGCCCCTGGGTTTCACGAGATCCAGAGCTGGGAGAGACGCTCTGAGCGGTCTGGAGACTCACGTGCTGCCCCCTGTGCCAGGCCTCCCCCAGACTCCTGCTTACACACACCACCACACGGAGAGGCCTCCTGCGGCCTGCACCTGTCATACAGCACACGCTAGCAAGCGTCTGCTCATCTGACCTGGCGTACCCCTCACCTGTGACAGCTCTGCCGACACCCAAGTTCACTATTTGCAAGTGAACAGCTCAGTGTCAACGTCGTCCTGACATCCGACGTCAGATTCAGCTCCTCCAAGATACCCACTCGAATCACTACGAAGCCCAACGGGACTGCGCAGTGACAGCCCTCCCCGCTCGGAGGGCGGGAGGCGGCACACGGGCTCCACCTTCTGCAAGGTGGTCTGCAGCCCTGACACAGCCGGCCCAAAGCTTGCTCCTCTCACTCTGTAACTCGCAGCACGGCACTGAACGGGGTGGGCAGAGGGACGAGAGGGCGTAACGTTCCAGTCTCTCCGCAGCTGCCGGCAACGCTGGGAAGCTGACAGGCGTTCGTGTCAGGCCTACAACGAGCACCCCACAGCCGCCAGCCACTGCCTGAGGTACGCTCTCCGGTCTAGTCTCCTCGAGCCTCCATCTTAGACCTGGCGCTCTGAGAATCTCACTCAGCTCCACTGGCTGCACCACACGGTCAAGGAGAAGACAATCCCCGCTAACCTACAGCTTTGTGTTATTTTATTTTTACTGATTTGAAACCTCGAGAGTTAGTTTCCAACCACTGGCTCACTCCCCTCAAAGGGGCTGGGCCATGCCAGGGATGGAAGCCAGGAGCAGGCAATTCCATCCAGGTCGCCCATGTGGGTGGCAGGGACCCAACATCTTGACCCATCACCTGCTACCTCGCAGGGTGCACATCAACGAGAAGCTGGAACTGGAGGCAGACCATGACTTGAACCCAGGCGAGCAGGTGTCCCACGCAGCGTCTTAACCACCAGGTGAGATGCTTGCCCCTAAAGCACTACTTTAATGACAGCAACCCTGGCGTCCTGGCACAAGACTCAAGTTCAGCGTCAACAAGCACAGACGTACACGACAGGAATGGACACACTGAGCTTACCGTTGACATTGACCAAGGACAGAATATGATCCTGGTGACCGAGGAGGCGCTTAGCTTCCACAATGTCCCACTCCAGGGATCCTTCCGAGGGTGCCACCAACCTGAAAATGACTGCAGAGACAGCTGTGGCAGCATTACAAGGCCCAGAGACAGCGCGCCACTCCTCAAAGCCAGCGTGTCTGTCACTGCGGACAGGTGGTAGCTGCCTTCTCTTTTTGATCTTCATTTTACTCTTTCACTCCATAATTGTATGCATCTATGCAGTTCAGTGAGATGTTTCAATACACGCACACGTAAGTAAAAAATACCCATCACATCGAAACCCCATCGGAGGAGCACCCTGTTCACACTGCTTTCAACTACGTCTTCCCAGCACCTGAGACGGCGGCCGGGCCGTACACCTCCCCGAGAGCTGTCCCCGTGGCACTCCTCTGCGCACTCCTCCAGAGACTGAAACCACCGTCCTCTCGCGGGCTCCCGTGCACGTCCATCCACTCCCCTCCCCCCTTGTCAGGGACCACTCAGCACCCCAAGCCCTCCCCCCACTTTGCTCACATCTGCAGGACTCCAAGTCCTGGGACAAATAAGCTCCAAGTCCATACTGCACTAGAACTCAGGGGAGACCTCTCGGTTACGAGTTCTCTGGAGAGAACACGCCTCATGACATTGGTTACACGGTTCCTTTGTCCACAGACGTCCAGTAAGCAGCTCCACTCATTCCCCGGTCTCACCACATCAGCTTTATTTAACCGAGCGCACATCCCGACTTCCATTAACAGAAGGGCACTTCGCAAAGTGGGTGGAAAGATGGCATCAGAAGATGTTTTTTTCGTGCAAAAAGCTTTTTGAAATACATGCCATTTTCCCACAATACACATTCTCCATAAACTATATGAAGATCCCTCAAACAGAATATGCAAAAATCACAACGAATTAGCAAATACTTACTGAACACGTACCACATTCTGGGAACGAAGTACTGCATGTTAACAAGGCCGTCACGGCCCTGAGATGCTCAGTCTACACAGCAGCACGCCCAGAGCGAGGCCGCGCCGTGGCCCACGCATGCGTGGAGGTTCTGGGCTGAGGGCGGCTGACAGCTGAGGACAGCACGGCTCTCCCGGGGGCAGCCTGCTGCCTTCCTACACTCCTCTCCAGAAAGTAAGCTGCCCCGTGTTTCTCTCTGTAACCGGCAACACTTCCCCAGCTGACCAACTTCTAGCAAAGTCATTACATCCTGACAGCCACCGCACCAACACTGTGGTTGTCAGATACAAAGAGAACGCTTTCTGAGACCCAGGGCAGTTGGAATACTACCAGGGACTTTGGGCCTGGGATTTTAGAGTAAGCAATATATTTCTAACCACACTGTTAACAGAAAATCACCTGAAATACCAACAAGGAGAAGAAACCTAACCAACATCTTGAAAGTGGGTCCCTCTGCATCAGGCCAACACCCAGGGAGGCCGTGACTGGGGCGGGGGCAGAGCGCCCTTAGAACTCCCCTCAGTCTTTCCAGCGCCTACATGCTACTCAAGCTCAACCCTGAAGACAGAGGAAAAGCCGTACTCACTCAGCTCTCTGCCAACTGCTGCCACGACACAGTTCTTCGGTATTTCAACCAAAGCACTGATCCCTTCAAAAACAGATAAAGCAAAAGTCAAATTCTTTTCTTCCATGGACTATGTCACAAACATACCTTCGATTTCCTGCCAGCCACATCCCGTACAGAAACTTCACAATACAGCTTACAAACCCGCTGAAACGCGGTTCCTTGCTTGTTTACACATGGAGAATGATATTGTTAAAAGTAGGCCCATGAGGCCTTTGAAAGACTCTATTGATTCTGTTGTTACATAATTTGTTTTACAACACCCAGAGCTAGAAACAAACAAAAAAGCACGTGGGCCAGCACTGTGACGTTCAGGGTTAAGCCACCCCCTGTGACGCCAGCATCCCACACTGCAGTGCGGGTTCCAGTCCCAGCAGCTCCGCTTCTGATGCAGCTTCCTGCTAGTACCTGGGTCCCTGCCATGCACACCGGGAGACTAGGATGGACTCCTGGCTCCTGGACTTGGCAGGCCTGGCCCAGACATGGTTGTTGTAGCCATCTGGGGAATCAATCAGTGGGTGGAAGCCAGCTGGCACTTGCTCTCTCTCCTTCCTGTGTCACTCTGCCTTTCAAAGAAATCAGTCAATGTTCTAACAACTAACTAACTACTGGGCCAGTGTAGCGCAGCACATTAAGCCACCACCCACCACCACGGGGGAGGCCAGCAGCCCGCATCAGGGTGCTGACGGGAGTGCCGGCTGCTCTGCTTCTCATCGAGCTTCCTGATAGTGCCTGCTGGGAGGCAACAGATGACAGCCGAGGGCCGGGCCCGCATCACCTGTGCAGACCCAGACGGAGCCAAGGCTCCTGTCTTCAGCCCAACCCTGGCCGGTGCAGGGAGCTGGGGAGTGAGCAAGCAATTGCCAGATGGATCAACAGCAAGCTATTCTGTGCCTTTCAAGTAGACAGAATAGCCCAATACACATCTTAAAAACAGAGAGGCCAGCGTTGTGGCACGGTGAAGCCATCACGTACGCACCAGTATCCCACATCAGAGGGCTGGCTGACTCCGGGCTGCTCTGCTTGCAACCCGGCTCCCTGCTGATGCGTCTGGAAGAGCAGCAGATCTAGATGGGTGCGAGCTGAGTGAGCAGGCCCGGGAGATGCTGCGAAGCTCTCCCAACAGAGCCCCGCACAGGGGCACTAACTCCAGAGGTGAGTGCCGCGTTCTAAACCTCTGAGATTCAGGGTCTCGGTGGGGAAGGCCCAGCCTTGCGCCTTTCCCTCAACTCCATGACTTAATCCTCCGCAAGGAGCTGACAAGCACAAGACAGAGCGAGCAGACGGGGAGCAGGCTGCTGGAGAGACAGAGACCTGACGAAGTCCACGTCCAAGGCATTAGGGGTAGGGCCGGGTTCCAATCCTGGAGATAATCATCACCCACTAACAAGACGGCCAGCTCTCATGAGAAGTCACACTGGGGGTTCCACTCAGCGCAGACCTCAGCAGGCTGCCTGTCACCAAAGGAACTGTGCGACAGTGTGAAATACAGTGCTCTCAGTCCAGCTTCCTGCTCCGTCACTCCTCAGTCCTTGCCATCTCCAAACTCACCGCATCTGCCCAGCTGCTGGCACCCCCAGGCAGCTTCAGGAGGGGCCAGTCACAGCAAAGACCTCAGTAAGACCGAAGGGTCCAGACTTTCAGCTCAATGCCCCCCATCCCGGGAGGGGAGGGGGCTGAAGATTAAGCCGATCACCAGTGGCAAAAGGACAGGGTTCAGAGCACAAGAAAAATACTTGGGGGTTCCTGGAGAGTGCACACCTGGAAAAGGCCCGGAAGCCCCCAGCCCTTCCCACATGCCCTGCCCTGTGCATCTCTGCATCTGTATCCTCTAAGATCCTTCGTGACGAGCCGGGAGACAAGCCCTGGGGTTCCAGACGCCACTCGGCCACTCAGCGGAACCAGAGGAGGAAATTCTGGGCAAGTGACGGACAGCCCGGGATCAGGAGCACAGACAGAGCTGCCTGCGGCTTGCCGGGTGGGGGTGCCGTGGGGCTGCACGCTCCCCAGGAGTCCACTGTGAGGAAGACCTCCCACAGTTCTGCATCGCCCAAGTTAGGGTACGGAAAAAATGGAGCTGGCACTTGTTCCCCCACCAACAGAGGCTGCCAGCAGCTAGGAAAGCAGCATTCAAGGAGCACACTGGGGGCCAGTGCTGTGGCGCAGTGGGGGACGCTTCTGCCTGCAGCGCCAGCATCCCATATGGGCACCGCAGGCGGAGGATTAACCTACTGTGCCACAGCGCCGGCCCCTCAAACAGATGCTTTCTAATCAAATGTTAAGCTGACAAGCTCAGATGTAAATCCCCGCAATGTATAGATTACGTTTCCCTCAGAGAGCGATGAGCGATGAGTATTTTATATCTATGTGCAAATAAGCCAGCTCCAAATGTAAACTATACATTCAATTTCTAGGGTTTCTGCCTTTTTTTGTTGTTGTTGTTAATGTGAGAGCCAGAGATGCCATCTGCCGATTCACTCCCTAAACGGGAGCCCATCAACGATGGCCTCCAAGGGTGTGCACGGGCGGGACGCTGGATTAGCAAGCAGAGCCGAGACACGAACCCAGGCACCCAGACACGGGACACGGCTCCCCAAGCAGAATCTTAACTGCCACGCCCAACGCCTGCTCTGTGTGCAGCTTTAAAGTATCGATGTGCAGGGGATACAGCGGGTTAACGCCCTGGACTGAAGCGCCAGCATCCCATATGGGCACCGGTTCTAGTCCCGGCTGTCCTCTTCCGGTCCAGCTCTCTGCTGTGTCCTGGGAAAGCAGTAGAAGATGGCCCAAGTCCTGGGCCCCTGCACCCACATGGGAGACCCAGAAGAAGCTCTTGGCTCCTGGCTTCAGATCAGCACAGCTCCGGCCGTTGTGGCCATCTGAGGAGTGAACCAGCGGATCGAAGACCTCTCTGTCTCTCTCTCTGTAACTCTTTCAAATAAAATAAAAATCTTAAAAAAAAAAAAAAATCAACGTGCACACAGCACCCTATCTAGGATATCTACAGGGTCACCTCATTACTTCCAGACACAAGAATGATATGTTATATGGTGTCAAGGCTATCATTTACATGTACATTTATATTTAAATAGTTTTATTCTGAAAATAGACGTTAGTATTATTCTTTAAGGTCCTCAGGATCACCAAAAGTTAACAATGATTTGGGTTTTTTTTTTCTGTTAATACCAAAAGGCTGTGCTAACAGAATTCTGAGGAAATAGCACTTCGCTAGTTCTTACACATACACGGAATTTCCCATAAAGCAACTGGAAAATGAGCTCACTCCCAGGCATCTATGCAAGTCCCATGACCCCAGAGAGAGACAAGGCCGCCTCCAGGCGTCCGGGTGCTGACTGACCGGCAGCACCTCAGAGGCCACCGTGTGCAGGGAGGGAGCCACAGAGCAGAGCTGTTCCTTCGGGAGGGAGCGTGGGAACACCTTCCTCACCACCCTGCACCTGAACCGCGGGCCACCTCCTCCAGGACCGACAGCAGAACCTCTCCAGCGGCCTCTCGTGCCTTCGGTCTCTGAAGCTGCACCACGGCCTGCCAGGATCTATCAGTCACGGTTCACAATTCCTCAGCTTGCGTTTACCTGTATCGGAGAGGTGGTCGGTCTTACACAGGAGGTCTAACTTCCGGCTCCACACACACAGGTCATCCCCACCAGACAGCCAGACGTCCAGTCCCTGAAGAACCGTTAAACACTGCAAAGTGAATGTGACACGTGCGTCAGTTTGCAAGTTCGAGTGTTTACTGTCCGGCAGCCGTGACACAGCTCCAAGTTCTTTGAAACTGTGCCCTTCAGCACGGGCTCCACTGAGTGACCAGAGCCGAGCAGGGGCCGCACGGCTTACAAGCCTAAGTCGCAGAGACCCGACAGCTCCCTCCTGACTGCCCTCCAGAGCGAGGATGGGGACACCTACACAGCCCTGTGCAGCAAGGCCCAGAGCACAAGGAGGCCAGACAACGGCGGGCACCACGTCACCAACTTGGAACGGAGCCCGCGACAACCTGCAGTCAACCCCGAGGGCCCCGGAGCCACAGCCGGGTGGAACGCCCTCCAGTCCTGGCCGAAATCACCAGGAAACACACGCTCATCACCTCGCGGTGATGTTACTCGGAACAGCGAGCACACAACGGGAAAGACACTCCTGAAGCGAAGCTGAAGACACGACCTCAGTGTTACGTGACATTCATGCAGCTCCTGACGCCGCTCGCTAGGTCTGCTGTTCGCTGAGCTCAGGCAAGTGTGCCCAGACCTGTACACGTCCCTAACCTTTCGCAGCCCTGCCCTCAGCATCAGCTGTGAGCAGGAGCAGGAGCAGGCGGTGCCGGGAGCCCTGCCTCGCCCCGCGCGGGGAGACCTGAGGGGACCCAGAGCTGAGGCAGCCCACACAGGCCTTCCCAGGTCCTGCACTCCCAGCACGCGCTCTGCTCCTCTCACTCCGAGTCCTCCCCCGAGTGCACACACACACCCTGCTTGTCCCTGTGTCCCACACGGGCAGCTGAGTTGTTTCCAAGGCTGAGCGTCCGTGGAAACGGTGCTCTGACCATCACAGCCACCTGTTGTGCACACGTGTTGTCCGTCCGTCCTGTGAATGCTCCAGCAGAAGGGCTGCTGGCTCCAACGTTTCTGTATTTTACATCTTGAGTTGCCAAACGACTTCCCCCACGTTACAGCCCCAACAGCCATCTATGAAACGACAGCGTCCGCACGTCCTTAGCAACGCTAGCTCCTGTCCCGTCCACACCGACCACTGCAGTGTGCAGGGAACAGCGTCTCGGGCTGGTTCCGAGGGCTCGTGTCTACCCACTGCAGGTGCGGAGCTGCCTCCCGTGCTGACTGGCATCCGCACAGATCACGTCTGCAGAGTGATAAGTCCTCTTTAACTTTACCTTTCATTGTGAGGAACTGGTTACTCCGGGCACAAGCCCCATGAAGTCTGCCTCGCCAACTCTCCTCCCCTTCCGTGGGCGGTCTTCCCACTTAACCGTGTCCTCGGAGACGGAAGCTCGTCACCGATGAGGTCCAGAATTCGCCTTTTCTTCTCTCCCTACACGTTAGGTGTCACCCGCGAGATGCCCAATTCAAGGTCACAAAGACGTGCGCCTGTGTTTCTGCAACAGCTTTAGTTTCGGCTCCACATTTCTCTTTGATCCGACTTGGGACTATTTACGTCTCCTGAATTCGTACGTCCGCGATCGGGCAGGGATCCGATTCGTTATTTCACATGTGACCATCCAGCTGACGCAGCACCCCTTTCTGAAGAGCGTGTGCCAGCACTGAAGGGTTTCAGCACGCCTGGCAGGCCACGTGTGTGACGCAGCACTTCTCTGCGTGTGCACCAGCACGCCAGCATCCCCCAGCCAGGTTCCCACAGCCCTCTGCTAGGTTCTGAAGTTGCCAAGTGTGTTCTTGTGCCTCTGTTCTTTCTCAACCATGCTTTGGCTCCTCCAGGTCCCTTGAATTTCCACATAAATCTGAGGCTCAGACTGTCCACGTCGGAAGGGAACAGGCTGGCTGTCACTGAGAGGGCGCTGTGCTCCATCTGTGGGACGGCGTCCACAGTGCTGCAGGCTGCAGAGCAGTAAAGCGGCCGTGACCAGGAGAGGTCTTCAGTAATCCAGCTCTTTAACTTCGTTCAGCAATGTTTCACAGCTTTTGGTATACGGGTTTCATATTTTATCTCCAACTACTTTCTCCTTTTGTATATTACTGAAAATGTAATTACCTTCTTAATGTCATTTTGGAAACATTCATTGACATCATAAAGAAACACAACTGATTTTAACAGGATTCTGCATCCCGGAACTTTCCGAAGTGACTTGCTGTGACTTAGAACGTTTCGCACACTGGACCACGCGCACTTACACAGCTGTACTCCTTCCTTCCCGACGAGGATACCTGTCTTAGACGCCTGCTTCTCTGCTTCACCTTCCTGGCTGGAACCGCTAGACGCGCGGACATGCGGAGAGCGGACTTCCCCCTTTACTCTCGCCCTTCAGCTTTCTCTGACAGTGTGTCTGCTGGAGACTGTCACAAAACGCCCTTATTAGGCTGAGGACTGCGGATAATTTTTGTCATGAGAGGATGTTGGATTTTGTCGAATGCTTTCTCTGCATCTATTGAAATGATCATGTGGCTTCTGTCTTTTATTGATAATATGGTATATTTCACTCATCAGTGTTCACATGTTAAACTAAGTTCATATTCCTGGCATAAATCTCATTTCGTCAGGATATATAATCTTTTAAAAATAATTTCTTGGGACCCGCACTGTGGTGCAGTGGGTTAAAGCCCTGGCCTGCAGCGCTGGCATCCCACATGGGCGCTGGTTCAAGTCCCAGCTGCTCCACTTTTGATCCAGCTCCCTGCTGACGCCCCTGGGAAGACAGACAGGATGGCTCAAGCGCTTGAGTCCCTGCACCCGTGTGGCAGACCTGGAGGGAGCTCCTGGCTCCTGGCTTCAGAAGGGCTCAGCTCCATCCATTGTGGCCATCTGGAGAGTGAACCAGCAGATGGAAGACCTCTCTGTGTCTCTACCTCTTTCGTATATAAACAAAATAAACCTTTAAAAAATATCTCTTGGCTTTTTTTATGTGAAAGGCAGAGACACACACATAGACAAATAATCTCCCTGTCACTGGTTCAACCTGCAGGTGTCATCAACACCCAAGACCGTGCCAGGCTCGAGCCAGGAGCCAGGAACTCAATCCAGGTCCCCCTAGTGGTGGCAGGGACCCAGTGTGATCCAGGGAGTGGGGAGTGCGAAGGGGTCAGGCGCTACAGCGGGGCATGAGAGCATCTTAAGAGGCGTCCACTTCCAGGCCAAAGCTCCCCGCTCTCCCAGCTTATCTGAAAGGCAGGCAGGCAGACGGCGAGCTCCATCTGCTGGCTCACTTCTGATCCAGGGAGCTGGAACTCAACCCTGCGCTACCACACTGGTGGCAGGAACGCAGCCACTCGGGGCATCGGCACTGCCCCCGGGTCTACTGACAGAGCAGGAAGACAGAGTCGGGAGCTGGAGGTGGGACATGAACTCAGGCACACCTGCGTGGGAGGCAGGTACCTGAGCCACCAGGGCAACGCCCACCCTAACCCTTCCCCCTGAAGCTGGGTTTGGTTAGCTAACATTTTGTTGACGTTAATATACTATTTTTTTACTTATCATTAGCACTTTCCAAATTATTTCTGTATCTTAAAGCATAATTCAGGGCCGGCGCTGCGGCTCACTAGGCTAATCCTCCGCCTAGCGGCGCTGGCACACCGGGTTCTAGTCCCGGTTGGGGCGCCGGATTCTGTCCCGGTGGCCCCTCTTCCAGGCCAGCTCTCTGCTGTGGCCAGGGAGTGCAGTGGAGGATGGCCCAGGTGCTTGTGCCCTGCACCCCATGGGAGACCAGGAAAAGCACCTGGCTCCTGGCTCCTGCCATCGGATCAGCGCGGTGTGCTGGCCGCAGCGCGCTGGCCGCGGCGGCCATTGGAGGGTGAACCAACGGCAAAAAGGAAGACCTTTCTCTCTGTCTCTCTCTCTCACTGTCCACTCTGCCTGTCAAAAAAAAAAAAAGTATAATTCAATGTATCTTTTATGCATATACACATACATAGAGCATAACTTCGCTATTTTCCTGTAAGACACTTTGGACACTTCAATCACCTGTTTCAGAAAATTCATTTGTAGTATGTGTTTCTGTTAATAAATCTCCTTATTTCCTTTAAATAGTTTTTTTAAATTAGAACCACGGGGGGAATGTTTATAATCATTTTTCAAGATTGATTCATAATGCCAAACTGTCTTCCAGAAAGATACTAACTCAGATTCTTAACAATTAAAAATGTCAATCCCACCTTCTCTGTCCTAAACCAACCCTCATAAAAAAACACCACAGTATTCAGGATCTGAATTCCTCTCACAGCTTACTGAGGGTCCAGCGCTGTGGCACAGCGGTTACAGCCATGGACTGCAGGGCTGGATTCAAGTCCTGACTGCACCACTTCCGGTCCAGCTCCCTGCTAATACGCCTGGGAAAGCAGCGGAGGATGGCCCGAGTACCTGGGCTGCTCCATACGTGTGGGAGACCCGGAAGCAACTCCTGGCTCCCGGCTTCGGATGAGCCCATCTCCAGCCATTACGCCACTTGGGCAGTGAACAAGAGGACAGATCTCTCTCTGTGTCTCTGTCTCTCTCTCTTTGTAGCACTGCCTTTCTTTTTTAAAAAAGTAGTAACTTTTTTTAAAAAGAAAGTCTTTTCACTATACTGGAATAAGATGCTTTTTAATAAGTAGTTCCTGTAACCAGTTCATGAAGTAGATCACTGAAGGAATTTCCACCCAAAAATAGTAAATTTTTCTCCTTCTGTTTCTGCAACTCATGTATTTCCATGATAAACCTAATAACCTTAGTTTTACAGACAGAATATTTTTAAAGGAATGTAACAGTGGAATTTTTTCAGATCATATAAAACAGATTTGGACTAAGTCAGTAATGACTTCTTCACAGAAACTCTACATTAAATTAGATACAAGCATACAGTATGTACTGCATTGATATTTGGAAGAGGCGGCTGCCATATATATGTGTGTGTATATATATATATCACACACACACACACACACACACATATATATATATATCACAAACATATAAAACAATCCTTACTAGTGGCACATACCAACTGTTTTCAATTAAAAAAAAAGGAAGAAAGTAAAAAGAAGTGTTAGCTCCAATACAGAGAGTAGCTATCTTCAAAGCAAATAAGGAGCGGCCAGCATTGTAGTGTAGCAGGTTAAACCACCCTCTGCAATGCCAGCATCCCAGAAGGGCGCAGGTTCAAGTCCTGGCTGCTTCACTTTGAATCCACCTCCCTGCTAAGGGCCTAGAAAAGCAGCAGAGGACAGCCCAAGCACTTGGGGCCCTGCACCCACAAAGGAGACCCGGACGGAGCCCCCGGCCCCCGGCCCCCGGCTCCAGCCCAGGCTGCTGCAGCCATCTGGGGAGAGAACCAGCCATCTGCACGTACTACAAATACTCACCACAATCTAGTCCTGCAGGAATCAAATGACTACGGATATAAAAAATAATTTGTAACAACTACGAAAGTAGCTTCATTTAACAATTAGGCTGCTTTTTTTAAGACAAAACCAGATTATTACAAAAGCTTACATTTGCCTAAGAGCTTACCTTTACAGTGGACTGGAAACATGATAATCTCTGAACTTGTCTGCCAGTACCACTATCCCATACCTAAATTTATGTTAAGAAATAATTTCTTAACAGAATTCTAAAACCTTAATTATGAGACAACTTCTCTAATTAACAATGAAATCTCTGACATTAAATATTTACTTAGAGGATATTTAAATAAAATATTAAATATTTAGTGTTTACACTACCACAAAAATTAATTTACATACTGAGCTGTCAATTTAGCACAGCAAACTTATGACCTAAAGTCTGAGGTACATCTTACTATCACACTACCTGAACACTCAGGAGGAAGCGGTCTCAAGTACTGACTTCAGAGGCGTCAGGGTAACCACTGACAGGCATCCTCCAGGAGAAGTCTACACAGTCCTCTACTTGCACAGAGGACCTCTCATAAAATGTCCACGGTTCCTCTGACTCAACGAGCACCAGGTTTTCAAATTCCCCCCATCACCTCCTGCGGCACGAAGCGCACGTTCTCCCACGGCAGCTCTCCCGCTGCCTTCCAGGCAAGGATACGCCCACTGTTCTGTCCGCAGAGGCTGTCAGGAGGAGGGGGCGCTCGCCACAGGAGTCCAGGGAAGGGAGCGCAGCGACAGCTGTTATCTTCTGAGTGTGTCCAGTGAGTTCCCAAAGCTCTTCTCCTGTCTGAAACACCAATGAGCAGGTTAGGAGGCGCACACTTCAGAAATCAAATAATCGTAAATGACAACACTGAGAAAAATCACCATACAAAAAGTTCAAATACATTCAACACTCAGAACTTACCATTTAACTTAATCAGACAGAATATAAAGACTGCTAAAAGAACAGCCGTAAACAATTTTGGTTATTTTCTAGCAAAAATGCTTACTTGTAGAATGTGTTTAAAGAAAATTAGAAGGAGTATTATTTTCCATGGTTTTGAGAATTATGTAAATTAAGCATATGAACATGAGTAGGGGGAAAAGGGAGCCCTATTATCTAAGAATTTATTACCTAAGTCTGTACACACAAGTAAGACTGCAGAAGGAAATAAGTCAGCATACAACGTACTTACGAGAATGCGCACAACACGTACGTGCGTGCATTTTCTGCAGGATTTATCAGCCGCTTATAGACTTACTCCCACTCCCACTCCCACTCTACTGAAAACTGGCGTCTATGCCCACCACTCAATATCTTTGTCTATCAGTCTCTCACTGACTTCCCAAGAAGTAAAAGGATCACTCTAGGGGCCAGCGCTGTGGCGTAGTGGGTAAAGCCACCACCTGCAACGCCGGCATCCCATAGGGGTGCTATTTGAGTCCCGGCTGCTCCACTTCTGACCCAGCTCTCTGCTGTGGCCTGGGAAAGCAGTGGAAGATGGTCCAGTCCTTGGGCCCCTGCACCCGCGTAAGAGACCTGGAAGAAGCTCCTGGCTCCTGGCTTCGCATCTGTGCAGCTCTAGCAGTCGCAGCCAACTGGGGAGTGAACCAGCAGATGTAAGACCCCTCCACCTCCCTCTCCCTCCCTCTCTCTATTCTGTGTAACTCTTTCAAGTAAATAAATAACTCTTAAAAATTCACTATAAATGTAACAAATAGAAAATATTCCAAAAGTTGCAGAGTTTCATTAATGTGATAAAATTAATGTTAAAGAACTACTTGAATCACAGACACTGAGAAATGAGGACCTGACAGAGACAGACCAAGGAACAATCTAAAATAAGGATAAAAAGAGAAATGCTTCGGAGAATAGCTTGAGTTATAAAGGATAAGAAAGAGAGGCCCTGGAAAAATGTGGTGAGCCCTTGGGTATTTTTTAAAAGTATATCTTTTTAAAAAAATTATAAGTCAAACATGAGAATAAGATTATAATATGTTACTATACAACAACGAAAGAAAAATTGACTCTTGCAAAAAAATTTACTTTGAAAATCAGTGTAAACTTGCTGATAAAATAAATGAGTCTTTTTTTTTATTTTTAAGATTTGGCATTTCTTCTCCAAGAAAAAAACTACTAGCAAAAAGAAGCTTTTCCTTTTTATTATGAAATATTGGTCTCCATTTTGTTTTTTATAGAAAGTTTTTATTTAATATATATAAATTTCATAGGTACAACTTTTGGATTATAGCGGTTCTTCTCCCCCATATCCATTCTCCCACCACCAAACCATCCCACCTCCTACTCCCTCTCCCATCCCATTCTTCATTGAGATTCATTTTTAACTATCTTTACATACAGAAGATCAACTCTACACTAAGTAAAGATTCCAACAGTTTGCACCCACACAGACATACAAAGTATGAAGTACTGTTTGAAGACCAGTTTTACAGTTAATTCTCATTGTACAGCACATTAAGGACAGAGGTCCTGCATGGGGAGCAAGTGCACAGTGACTCCTGTTGTTGATTTAACAATGGACACTCTTATGTATGACGTCAGTAATCACCCAAGGCTCTTGTCATGAGCTGCCAAGGCCATGGAAGTCACTTGAGTTCACTCACTCTGCCCTTGTTTAGACAAGGCCATAATCAAAGTGGAAGTTCTTTCCTCCCTTCAGAGAAACGTACCTCCTTCTTTGATGGCCCCTTCTTTCCACCAGGATCTCACTCACAAAGATCTTTCATTTAGGCCATTTTTTGCCACAGTGTCTTGGCTTTCCATGCCTGAGATACTCTCATGGGCTTTTTAACCAGATCTGAATGCCTTAAGGGCTGATTCTGAGGCCAGAGTGCTGTTCAGGGCACTGTCATTCTATCAATCTGCTGTGTGTCCTGCTTCCCATGTTGCATTGTTCCCGCCTTTGTAATTCTATTAATTATGATTAGCAGACACTTGGTCTTATTCACGTGATCCTCTGAATCTTAATCCTATCTTTATGATCAGTTATGAACTTAAACTGATCACTTTAACTAGTAAGGTGGCATTGGTACCTGCCAATTTATTGGGATTTGGAGTCCATGGCATGTTTCTAGCTCTACCCTTAGGGGTAAGTCTGAGTGAGCGTGTGCCAAACTGTACATCTCCTCCTTATCTTATTCCCACTCATTTTTAACAGGAATCAATTTTCAGTTGGGTTTAAACACCTAAGAATAATTGTGTGTTAATTAAAGAGTTCAACATATGGTATTAAGTAGAAAAAGAAAATACTGGGACCGGTGCTATGGCGCATCGGGTTAACGCCCTGGCCTGACGCGTCGGCATCCCATATGGGCACTGGTTTTAGACCCAGCTGCTCCACTTCCAATCCAGCTCTCTGCTATGGCCTGGGAAAGCAGTGGAAGATGGCCCAAGTCCTTGGGCCCCTGCACCCGCATGGGAGACCTGGAAGAATTTCCTGGCTTCTGGCTTCAGATCAGCGTGGCTCCAGCCATTGCAGCCAATTGGGGAGTGAACCAATGGATGGAAGACCTCTCTCTCTCTCTCTCTGTCTCTCCTTTCTCTGCATAATTCTGACTTTCAAATAAATAAATAAATCTTTTTAAAAAAAATATTAAAAAGAATAGTAAACTGTTCCTCGACAGTCAGGACAAGGGCTGATCAAGTCACTGCATCTCACAGTGTTACTTGCACTGCTATAGGTTTCTTTTTAGGGGCTCAGTTAGTTGTCACAAATCAGGGAGAACATATGATATTTGTCCCTTTGGGAATGGCTTATTTCACTCAGCATGATGTTTTCCAGATTCCTCCATTTTGCTGCAAATGACTGGATTTCACTGTTTTTACCGCTGTGTAGTATTCCATAGAGTACATGTCCCATGATTTCTTTATCCAGTCTTCTGTTGATGAGCATTTAGGTTGACTCCAGGTCTTAGCTATTGTGAATTGAGCTGCAATAAACATCGAGGTGCAGACAGCTCTTTCATTTGCCAATTTAATTTCTAAGGAGTGGGATGGCTGGGTCGTATGGTAGGGTTACATTCAGATTTCTGAGGAATCTCCAAACTAGCTTCCACAGTGGCTTCACAAGTTTGCATTCCCACCAACAGTGGGTTAGTGTCCCTTTTTCCCCACATCCTCGCCAGCATCTGTTGTTGGTAGATTTCTGTATGTCAGCCATTCTAACCAGGGTGAGGTGAAACCTCATTGTGGTTTTGATTTGCATTTCCCTGATGGCTAGTGATCCTGAACATTTCTTCATGTGTCTGTGGGCCGTTTGGATTTCCTCTTTTTAAAAATGTCTATGTAGGTCCTTGGACCATCTCTTAAGTGGATTGTTTGTTTGGTTTTGGTGAAGTTTCTTGATCTCTTTGTAGATTCTGGTTATTAATCTTTTATCAGTTGCATAATTTGCAAATTTTTTTCCCATTCTGTCGGTTGCCTCTTCACTTTCCTGTTTCTTTTGCAGTACAGAAACATCTCAATTTGATGTAATCCCAGTTGTTAATTTTGGCTTTGACTGCCTGTGCCTTCGGGGTCTTTTCCAAGAAGTCTTTGCCGGTGTCTATATCTTACAGGGTTTCTCTTACATTCTCTAATAATTTGATGGTGTCAGGTGGTAGATTTAGATCTTTAATCCATGCTAAGTGGATTTTAGTGTAAGGTGTAAGGTATGGGTCTTGCTTCATACTTCTGCATGTGGTAATCCAGTTTTCCCAGCACCATTTGTTGAATAGACTGTCCTTGCTCCAGGAATTGGTTTTAGCTCCTTGATCAAATATAAGTTGGTTGTAGATGTCTGGATTACTTTCTGCTGTTTCTATTCTGTCCCATTGGTCTATCCATCTGTTTTTGTACCAGTAGTAGGCTGTTTTGCTTACAACTGCCTTATAGTATGTCTTGAAACCTGATATTGTGATGCCTCCAGCTCTGTTTTTGTTGTATAAGATTACTTTAGCTATTTGAGGTCTCCTGTGTCTCTATATGAATTTCAGCATCATTTTTTTCCAGACCTGAGAAGAAGGTCTTTGGTATTTTGATTGGTATCACATTGAATCTGTAAATTGCTTTTGGAAGAATGGACATTTTGATGATAATGATTCCTCCAATCCATGAACATGGAAGATTTTTCCATTTTTTGGTATCTTTTTCTGTTTCTTTCTTTAAAGTTTTATAATTTTCATCGTAGAGATCTTTGACATCCTTGGTTAAGTTTATTCCAAGGTATTTGATTTTTTTGGTAGCTATTGTGAATGGGATTGATTGTCGAAGTTCTTTCTCAGCCATGGCATTGCCTGTGTTTACAAAGGCTGTTGTAATTTGTGCAATGATTTTATATCCTGCTACTCTGCCAAACTCTTCTATGGGTTCTAATAATCTCTTAGTGGAGTTCTTTGGATCCCCTAAATAAAGGATCATGTTGTCTGAAAATAGGCATAGTTGGACTTATTCCTTCCCAATTTGTATCCCTTTGATTTCTTTTTCTTGCCTAATGGCTCTGGCTAAAACTTCCAATATTATATTGAATAGCAATGGTGAGAGTCAGCATCCCTGTCTGGTACCAGATCTCAGTGGAAATGCTTCTAACTTTTCCCCATTCAATAGGATGCTGGCTGTGGGTTTTTCATAACTTGCCTTGATTGTGTTGAAGCATGTTCCTTCTATATGCAATTTGCTTAGAGTTTTCATCATTAAATGGTGTTGTATTTTATCAAATGCTTTCTCTGCATCTATTGAGATAATCATATGGTTTTTCTTCTGCAGTTTGTTAATGTGGTGTATCACACTGATTGATTCGCGAATGTTGAACCATCCTTGCATGACAGGGATAAATCCCACCTGGTCTGGGTAGATGATCTTTCTGATGTGTTGTTGAATGCTATTGGCCAGAATTTTATTGAGGATTTTTATATCTATGTTCATCAGGGAAACTGGTCTGTAATTCTCTTTCTCTGCGCATCTTTTTCAGGTTTAGGAATTAAGGTGATGCTGGTTTCTTAGAATTCAGGAGGATTCGCTCTCTTTCAATTGTTTTAATAGCTTGAGAAGAATTGGAGTTAGTTCTTCTTTAAATGTCTGGTAGAATTCAGCAGTGAATCCACCTGGTCCTGGGCTTTTCTTTGTTGGGAGGGCCTTAATTACTGACTCAATTTCTGTCTTGGTTATGGGTCTATTTAGGTTTTCTATATCTTCATGGTTCAATTTAGGTAGGTTGCATGTGTCTACGAATCTATCCATTTCTGCTAAATATCCCAGTTTGTTGTCATACAACTCTTTGTAGTAATTCCTGATGACTCTATTTCTGTGGTGTCTGTTGTTACATTCCCTTTTTCATCTCGAATTTTATCGATTTGGGTCTTCTTTCTCTTTTTGGTTAGTTGGGCCAATGGTGTTGTCAATTTTTTTCAAAAAACCAGGTCTTCATTTTGCTGATCTTTCATGGTTTTTTTTATTCAGTTTTGTTGATTTCTTCTTTAATTTTAATTATTTCTTTTCTCCTACTAGTTTTGCTTTGGCTTGCTGTAGTTTTTCTAGATCCTTGAGATGTACTGAGAGCTCATTTATTTGGTGCCTTTCGAATTTCTTGGTGTAGGCACCTATTGCTATAAACTTTCCTCTTAACACTGCTTTTGCTGTATCCCATAAGTTTAGATGTGCTGTTATCTTCATTTGCTTTCACAAACCTTTTTATTTCTCTTTTGATTTCTTCTATGACCCACTGTTCATTCAAGAGCATGTTGTTCAGTCTCCATGTGTTTGCATATGCTCTAGAGATTTCTGAGTTGCCGATTTCCAGCATCATTCCATTGTGGTCTGAGAAGATGCATGGCAGGATTTCGATTCTTTTCAATTTGCTGCGACTTGCTTTATGGCCTAGTATGCGGTCAATCCTAGAGAAAGATCCATGCACTAGTGAGAAGAATGTGTGTTCTGTAACTATAGGATGAAAAGTTTTGTGTGTGTGTGTATGTGTGTGTATCTGTTAGGTCCATTTGGTCTATAGTGTCTATCAAATCTGCTGTTTCCTTGTTGATTTTGTCTGGTTGATTTGTCCATTGCTGAAAGTAGAGTACTGAAGTCCCCCAATACTATTGTATTGGAGTCTAAGTCTCCCTTTAAGTCCCTTAACATTTCTTTTAAACAGCCAGGTTCCCTATACTTAGGTGCATATATGTTTATTATAGTTATATCTTCCTGTTGAACTGACCCCTTAATCATTATGTAGTGCTCTTCTTTATCTCTTTTAACAGTTTTTGTGTTAAAGTCTACTGTTTCTGGTACTAAGATGGCTATGTCAGCCCTTTTTTTTCCATTTCTGTTGGCATGAAATATTTTTTCCAACCTTTCACTTTCAGTCTGCATGCATCATTGTTGGAAAGATGTGTTTCTTGTAAGCAGCAAATTGATATGTTTTGTTTTTTAATCCATTCAGCCAGTCTGTGCCTTTTAACTGGAGAGTTGAGGTCATTTATATTCAGAGACAGAGAGAAAGGTCTTCCTTTTTTTCCGTTGGTTCACCCCTCAATGGCCGCTGCAGCCGGCGCGCTGCGGCTGGCACACTGCGCTGATCCGAAGCCAGGATCCAGGTTCTTCTCCTGGTCTCCCATGTGGGTGCAGGGCCCAAGGACCTGGGCCATCCTCCACTGCACTCCCGGGCCACAGCAGAGAGCTGGACTGAAAGAGGAGCAACTGGGACAGAATCTGGCACCCCGACCCGGACTAGAACCCGGGGTGCCGGCACCACAGGCAGAGGATTAGTCTATTGAGCTGTGGCGCCGGCCTAAATGGATTTATCTTAAAGAGTCCTTTTCAAGTATTAATACCAAATAATGTTACTGATACAAAATATATCTTACTTTTACAAAATGTTATAATACTGTACAAATTTAATACTGTACAAAAATATCCCCACACAGTATTCACAAATGAATGCTCATCAAGAGTGGGCTACTTTATGACACAATCCGCATACGACCAATACATACCTGTGCATTCCATACAACCACAATGCCATCATCACCAGCTGATGCAAATCTGATCAGAGACAAAAAGAAATAGTGACACTTAATTACTAGGATTAAGAACTATCACATCATATTAGTGGTATTTTGAGGTACTAATATTAATGAAGATTAAGTTCCTTATGCTAATTTAATCAGACTACCTTCTAGGTTCTGTGCCAGGTACTAGGGATCCAAAGGAAATAAAGACTTTATAGGCTTACAAAGCACAACCCACAAGAAATGTGAAAGTGAAAAGAAAACACAGACATTCTTCCAAGTCTTCACTTCCTCAAAAAGTTTATGCTCTCATGAAATCCATGACTCAGATGAAATGGAGACTTCATGGGCAGAAAGCAATATTCAAGAACCACACCCTCACAGAGTATCTCCATTACCTTTTCCATAAAGGTGCACTGAAATTACTTAAAGTCAAGTTCTTACCTTTGTTCATCTCCTCAGTGTATGTGGTCTTTCCACATGTGTTCTGTGTTCTTAGAAGGTTTGGGGTTTTAGGTTTTTTTGGATTTTTTGAGGGTTGGTGGTTAAGCAAAAATGTTTGAAATGCACAGGAAAGTGTTTCGCTCTACAAAACAAGACTTTGTGGTGAACTCTGATATATAGTGTCTCCTTTCCAACTCTCACACTCTGTCCACAAAGGAAAAGTCATCTACATTCTGTAGAGAAGAGAGTGCTGACACAGCACTATAAGAAAACAAAGATTATTCATCACAGTGACTGCTGTAACGCCACCAGGCACTGTCTCATCACAGCTGCGTACGACAATCACTCTGCGTGGGTCAGGTACTCTAGTAATAACGCAGCACACACGCTGGGAGACCAAGTTTTAATGACTCAAACCCAGCTCAAAGTCATCCCTAGAACATCACTTTCATTCACGTGAACTCAGGTTTTCCTTCTCCGAATAGAAGGCACAGGCGATGTCAGAGACAGCCAGCAACGGGCTGCATGTCACTGGCCCCTGGAGCTAAGCATCAGTAACAGACGGTATTCCACAAACAGCTGTGGCACTGGGCAGCTCTGCTGTGCTTCCTGCACCATGGTTACTGGGTGTCACCAAATCTGGGTCTGCCACAGACATCTTCACTCGAGCAAACACTGCTGCTGTCATTTGCCACACAGTACACCTGGATGTAGTAAGTCACTTTGGTCCTATCAGCTCATCTGTTGGATTTTCCCCTATGAGATACATACAATCTATTTCACTCATGTGACACTTTCCTTAACATCTGTCAACTGAGGTTCAGGTTCAAATTTCTCATACTCAAAGTCTAAACGTTATCTTCACTAGCTCAAACAATTCCCACATGCAGCTCCCATTTCAAAACCTTTTAAAAAAATGTTTTATTTATTTTCATTTTATCTGAAAGGCAGAAAGAGACAGAGATCCCATTTACTGCTTCACTCTTCAAACACCCCCAGCAGTCGGGAAAGCCCAGATCAGAGCCAGGAGTCAGGACTCAAACCATGAACTCCCGCATGGGATATGGGTGTCCCAATGGCAACTGAACTGCTGTGCCAAATGCCCACCCCCACCCTGGAATGAGAAGTGGAGCCAGGTCTCAGACCCGCATCCAGTACAGGATGCGGGCGTCCCCGGCAGCATCTTAACCACTGTGCCAAACAACCCCTGCCAAACTCTCGGATGAATCTCCTACTGTCAGAGCTGAAAGACAATCCAGGAGATCAGAAACTGGTCAAACACAGTCTGGCAAAGACTGCCAATTATTTTTTCTTTTTTCAAAGATTATTTACTTATTTGAAAGGCAGAGTTACAGAGAGGCAGAGGCAGAAAGACACAGAGATCTTCCACCCATTGGTCCACCCCCAAAATGGCCACAACAGCTGCAGCTGGGCTCATCCAAAGCCAGGAGCTTCTTCCAGGTCTCCCATATGGGTGCAAGGACCCAAGCACTTGGGCCATCCTCCACTGCTTTCTCAGGCCATAGCAGAGAGCTGGACGGGAAGTGGAGCAGCCGGGTCTTCAGCAGCACCCACTACAGGTGGCAGCTTTACCGTCTATGTCACAGTGTCAGCCCCAAGAAGTTCTTAAATATAGAACTATATACCTTTTTTTAAGATTTATTTTTTGAAAGGCAGAGTTACAGAGAGGCAGAGGAGAAAGGGAGGGGGTGAGGGGAGGGGGGAGGGGGGAAGAGAGAGTGGGAGATCGATCTTCCATCTGCTGGTTCACTCCCCAAGTACCGCAATGGCCAGAGCTGGGCTGATCCAAAGCCAGGAGCCAGGAGCTTCTTCCAGGTCTCCCACGGGGGTGCAGGGACTCAAGGACTTGGGCCATCCTCTACTGCTTTCCTGGGCCATAGCAGAGAGCTGGATTGAAAGTGCAGCAGGTGGAACTAGAACCGGCGCCCATATGTGATGCCGGCACTGCAGGCAGTGGCTTTATCCGCTACACCACAGCGCCGGTCCCTACTTTTTTTTTTTTTTTTTTTTTTTTTTACCTATTTGACAGGTAGAATTATAGACAGTCAGAGAGAGACAGAGAGAAAGGTCTTCCTTCTGTTGGTTCATTCCCCAAATGGCCGCTATGGCTGGCACTGTGCCGATCTGAAGCTAGGAGCCAGGTGCTTCCTCCTGGTCTCCCATGCAGTGCAGGGCCCAAGCACATGGGCCATCCTCCACTGACCTTCCAGGCCACAGCAGAGAGCTAGACTAGAAGAGGAGCAATCGAGACTAGAACCTAGTGCCCATAGGGGTTGCCAGTGCCGCAGGTGGAGGATTAACCAAGTGAGCCACAGTGCAGCCCCCTTACATGTTTTTTTTAATAGAAAGGACTTTTAGGAGCTTTTAGGCAACTAGCTAGACACCACACAAACAAAAAAAATTTTAAAGCATGCCTACCTTTTATTCTTACATCAAAATTTAAGATATAAAACACCTGGAGGTGAGCAATTATTTTTAAATTACAAATACATCCCCGTGCCTAATGACGTACACTGTATAAATGTGAGTGCTAGTCAGCGCCTTGAGCAAGCATCGCGAGTTGCTGCTGGAAGTCAGTCTCTCATGGTTTGTGTTTTTGGGCCTCCTGATTCTTTTATTTATGTTATGACGGCAGGGAGGGCAAGACTCAGGGTCTCAAGTTTTATTTGATATAAAACATCAATTGGTATTGATTCTTTAAACTCCTATAATTGCCTTTCTTCCACTGAGAAGACTGCAGATTTAAAATGCTTTTTCTAAACCTCGTTTTTAACTTCTCATTATTGTTTTGTCAAGTCTGACTCACAATGAAGAGATGGCTGAACAGCTGAGAACTCAAGATACACAGCACTTCACCAAACCTTTAACTCAATCAGCAGCAGGCAAGTTTAAACATGCAGTAGTAAGTGCATGAAATCAGCCCATTTCTTATTGCTCACAGATCAATTAGCCAGTTACATAAGCCGCACCTTTAAATTTCCTTCCACACTATTGCTATCTTCTTCCTTTGACCATCTCAGTATTTATTTCTAACTTCGTATAAAAGGCTAATATAAAGCTTCGAAAGGTGCAAGTGCAACTTTGTGACGTATCTGTACCTCTCATAAAACAGCTAGCAAGGGGCTAGGAGATCATTAGTGAGTACTGCAATTAACCCTCCTACGTGTGACGCGACACTAGAGCCCAGTCGCACTTTCATCCTAAACCAAATCCAGGTCAGTCAAGCACACACTCATGCCATTTCCAAGTGAGACATGAAAACAGGAATTCCTCACACTGAAGTACACTGTGACTGCCAAAAGGGAGGACTGAATTCTAACAGGAGTTAGTATGTCAGTTAGATTTAAACTTCTCAACAGGAATAGTGAATTCACTGCCATAATATTTCACAGAGCAATTTCTTAAAACCAATTAACAGAATCCAAAGATTTAAGTCTAAAGGTAAGATTCTGAGAGAAATACTTCTTTACTGATTACTACAAAATGTATTAAATGGGATTCTATGCTACGGACATGCCAAGAGAAGTAAAACACTGTTCTTGCCTTGAAATCTTAAAATTTGACCAGTGTTTAGAAATATATTATATTTCAGGGCCTGCAACATGGTGCACTGAGTTAATCCCCTGCCTGCAGCGCTGGCACCCATGTGGGCACCAGTTCTAGTCCAGGCTGCTCCTCTTCCAGTCCAGCTCTCTGCTATGTCCTGGGAAGGCAGTGGAGGATGGCCCAAGGGCTTGGACCCCTGCACCCTCATGGGAGACCCGGAAGAAGCACCCGGCTCCTGGCTTCGGATCAGCGCAGCTCAGCCATTGTGGCCACTTAGGGAGTGAACCAATAGAGAGAAGACCTTTCTCTCTTTCTCTCTCTCTCACTGTCTGTAACTCTACCTGTCAAATAAATAAATAAAATCTTTGGAAAAAAAGAAAGAAATTATGGTATTTCAAGTCTAAGACATCATTAATTCTACAATACTTATTTTATACACCATGAAGGAAAATGGTGTGTAACTAAGAGGTGTCTGCATTTCAGACATGTTCGAACAAGAAAGAAAGCTTCTCTGAGTAAGTGGAGTACGGGGTACTGCATTTATTTATCCTTACAAAACGCGCTTCCTCGTCTAACAAATCTCTGGTAGCACTGGGCAGCTTGAAAGTGCTAAAGAAATGCAGCAGGGGCAGGAAGCCTGGCGTAAGCGGTGAAGCCGCCACCTGCGACACAGGCATCCCACAGGGGTGCCGGTTCACGTCCCAGCTGCTCCACTGCCAATCCAGCTCTGCTAACGGCATGGGAAGAGCAACAGCACACGGCTCAAGTGTTTGGGCCTGCGCCACCCGCGTGGGAGACTTGGGTGAAGCTACCGGCTTCAGCAAGGCCCAGTGGCTGCTGCGCACATCTGTGGAGTGAACCACCAGACTGAAGACTCGCTGTCTGTCCCTCTCTCTCTGTAACTCTTTAAATAAGTAAATCTTTAAAAATAAAAAGAGAAAGAAGCGCTCCCTGAAGAAATAAATGAGTGAACGGGCAAACACTTGCTGCAGGGCTCTGCGCAACAGACACGCCGGTCATATT